CAAACTGGTGCCATTTTGGGAATTCCAGTAAGGATACTAGACTTATGAAATGCTTGCCACATTGACACCAATAATTGAGTAAGTCCTGGACAGAGGCTCTGAGTAGATCGTAAATGGGGGAACCAAGTACTACAAAATACTGAGTACTACTGGGGATTAATATCACACTAGTGTGAGTACTCACATTCTGGAAAACATGATCTGTGCCTGGTGCAGCGATCATGATGAGCTGATGAGCTCATCCCCATGCCTAACTGCATTGGGATCAAGATGGCGATGAGCAGGAATGGGTTAGCCAGGTATATTAGCAATCACAAGACCCAGAGCCACTCCTGCAACCTGCAACGCAGTTCCTGCCTGTGCAGGAAGGAGTCACGTCTGACTGAGACCAAGCCACCGACAGGTTTGAGAGCACAGCGGGTCGGGGGGTGAGGCACACCCAGGTCGATGGCAGTGGGAGGTGATAGGCCAGAATCAGGGCTTTGGATTGGCAACTGCTGAAATAGACGTGACTGATGAAATAAATGGCTGGTAAGTGCGATGGCGCAGGGAGTGGCCTGCAATACCATTGCGGTGCATCTCCCAGTGCACAGTGCAGCCTCGAGACATCGCTTTTTCTGCCTAAACTGGCATGTTGCCATTTCAGTGGGTGCAAATGCCCACAGCAGCATATCAGGAAGGGGATCTTTTGCAAATGCAACTTGTGTGGTGCTGGGTGGTCACTCCCTTTTCAAGGTATTCACAGTATGGAAGGAAGATTGATGGAATTGTTTCCAAAGAATGTAGGAACAATGAATTGGACAGCAGAAAGCATGGTCTCAACACAGTACGAATGACACTGCCCACCCTAAAATAAAATCTTTGCAAGTTTCCCCACTTGTATTTTCAGCAAATACTTGGTCCCCAGGCTGCATGCTTCGTAAGTTCTCGCCAGCAGGCCCCCATATGTCTGGGTTCCAGAATAAAGGAAAGCCACACGATCCACACAGGGCACCCATCCCTTGGAGGCCAGGTCCCTGAATCACCCAGAGCTATACGGGGCTGAGAAGTTGTGCGAACTTCGAAGGCACAAGGGCTGCTGGTGGCCATCCCCGTCGGCTGCCAGCCTGTGCGAGGGACTGACGAGGTGTTGAAAGGGGGCCAATGATGACATATTCTGAACATGCCAGACAGGGAGGGTTTTGAAAGTTGGAGAAAAAGAAACCTGGAGCCCCCGCACAGCAAGAAGGCCATGGCGCCCATCTGGCACGTGCCGGCCATATGCATCAGCATACAGACCTGTTTCTACAACCGCCCTGTGCAAGGCCATCCATATGGGCCCAGCATGTTCGCATTTCCAGCCAGGGGAGTCGATCTAGAGCCTAACACCCATTTCTTCTTCCCTTTATTTTAAGGCGCCGGGTTGAGGGATGCCCGCCGGCGCTCCCACAAGTCGGGCACGGGGCGGGGTGGACCAAAAAAAGCGCTCGGGGCGTCACGCTAAGTTACGGGCGGGTTACGGCCGGGTTCGTCGAAACGAGGGCCGCGGGGTCCTTTTTACTGCCGCGGATGGGCGCAAAGGCGCCAGAGGATAGCCCCGCGATCGGCAATCCTGCAAGGAGTTGGTGCCCTCCGGCCACGAGTGCCCCCCTGCAGCACTTCTGAGCGCCCCCGTCGCTTCCTGGACGCCAGCCAAACGTAGGTCTACGCCTAACGTAGACAATCGCCCAATCGCCGTGCGCAGCGGAGCCCTCCCGGCGCCTCCCCTGACAGAGTAGCTGGATAGATATGGATCGTTTCTTTCGCCGAATTGCCGCCCCGTCGTGCGTGCAGCCGCACCAGCGGGCCGCGGGACTTCCGGCAAGCCCGCGGACAGCTCACATAGAGTGAGAACAACAAAGCCAAGGGCAAAAAGTCTCCCCCAGGCACTGGCCTCCACGGGATTCCTCCGATTTGCAAACACTTTTGCGACGAGAAAAGCACCCCGCGTCGCCCATTCGCCATCTCAGCGTCCCGCCCCAAGGCCCCGCCCGCGCCCGCCGGAAACTCCCGCCGAAAATTGGTCGAAAAAGTTGACGTCCAGTCCGCGGGTGAAGCCCTGCCGCTCCCTCACCTTGCGGTGGCCGCAGTCCGGATCGCAGACCACGAACTTGGCCGCCGCCGCCACTATCTCCTCATCGGGGTGCGGGTCGCGCTTGATGTCCACGCAACGGGTGCCCGGTAGGTCGTTTCCGCACGTGTGGTAGCTGCAGTCACACTGCTCCATGAGCTCCTCTGACCGGCCATATCGGCCAACCAAGTCTTCCGCCATTTCCCTCATTGTGGCGGTGTACTTGGCCTCCACCTCCGCCGGCGAGGCGCCCCGCCCGCTTTTAGAAGTTTGAAACAGGAGCACCAGAAACAGGAGGGCGGCCGGGCCTGTGCCCGCCATCTTGGCGCCGGTAGGCTTGTGAAAACCGCCGAGCTTCCGGAGGGCGGGTGCACTTGGGGAGGGCGTGGGGAGTCCAAGGCGATTGAGCGGCGCTCGCGTCATCGGCAACTGCCTCACGGGGCGGCGGAAATGCGCGGGGTCCACCGCAAGATCCCACGGACCATCGGAAAAGCTCCAGTCGGCGTCACCTGCACCCCTCGTCAGCCTCTGTGCCGCGGGCTCCGCGGCTCGGGTCCAATTCCATTGATTACGCCCTCGTCGCGGCATGACGAGGAGGGCCGCGTTGGATGGCGTGGGCGGGCATGATATTAGTCGCTCTGTCTTGCCGGGTGCGCCCAGCCCTCGGGCGACATCTGGTACATCCCGTCCTGTTTCCGGACACACCGAACCCTAAACCACCGACCGGCGTTGGCCTTGTCAGCGAAGGGAAAGGGGTCCACACGGTGACGACAGAGGGACTAATATATTCTGGCGTGGGGGATGGGCAGAAGCCACTTTGCCCGACCAGATGGCGCAAAGCTCTGGATGGCTAAGTGCCGTGCGACTGATTGATCGGTCGGTGGGCGGTCATCCACGAGGACTTGCCACGTCATGGCAGCGTCTCGGGAGAAGAGGACACCTTCCCTTCGCCAGAGATGGGCGTGACTCTCCATGCGAGTGGTCCACAATACGACACACAGAACAAAGCTTATGTGCTGCTCCTAGACGCTACTGCGTGACGGTTATGCCAAGCGGGTCAGCCTGGAAACCTTGTAAGGAGACCCGGAAATGGCGCAAAATTTTGCTTTGGCAGCCACTCACCTGTGACCTGACGTGCGCCCCTCACACCAGAACCAAAGTACTGCAAAAGGCTGGGATTTCAGCAAACAAAGGAATGCACAAATTAGTACTGCGCCAAAGTGGTGCTATCATCAATTTCACCCCCACGCTACCATTCTAGACCGGCGTCTAATATCCCCGTTCCAGAAAATCAGAATTCTGGAACTGGCGGCTCGTAAGATTAGCCAGCACTGAGGTCTTGGACCTTAAGGCCACCCTAGGTCGCCCGGACCCAGTAGTTGCCTGAATTGGGATTTGCACCCATGATCCGGTGACACACTTGAGACAGTTAATGTCCTACAGCGACATTAATACCCACAACGATTTTATTGCAGTGCAACCCTGTATTTAGGTGGCTGGACCCTTAGGCTCGAATTTGTTGATGCGTGTGTTATGTTCCACCACCACCGTGTCCAATTGTGAATTGTGCCAAGATCGTGCTTGAAAAGGCACGTTCCCTTTTTTTATGGAAATGAGGGTGGGGTGGGGTGGGGAGAGTGGGGGGGTGGGGATTGGGGCACACCTCGCATTGTTCGCATGTGGCGTCAGTAGAAAAATGGTCCCCTGTGGAAAGGATGGTTTGCTCGCCTACTCTCTGTGGTAATGACCCATTGGTTTTCTTGTTTTGTTGAGCGGAGCTCGGCCCATCGCTAAAGTCGTTGAAGCCGTATGCGGAGCGAAGCGGAGCAGGCCGAGATGACTTCGGCATAAGGGCCGAGCGTAGCGAGGCCTTTAGCCCGAAAATGGGTTTGGCCAAAATGGAGGTTCTTAATGAATATGATGATTTTGATGAAATTGGCCACCACATGCCCGCCGGTGGCCGACAGTTTGATTGCCTCCTCGCCGCTGGCCTTTGGACGGACCGTGACAGAAGCCCCCACCCATGGGCCAGAGAGAGCTTGGGACACGCCGTCCGGCCGAGGACGACCACGCTTCCACTGGAGAGGCCCTAGAGCGCGGGCCAAGGTACCTAGATGCAGCCAAGGGGGGACCGCACCAACACTCTCCCTGCGCTGGGATATTCATCATGCAACTTCAGGTGCGTTGGGAGAAGCGCACAACATTGCAGCCTGTGTATTGCAGCATATGAGGCAAGTGTGGTGTCTTGTTCGAGTCCAATTATTCGAATTCCCATATTTTACATACTCCGTTTTGATTGCACAAAGACACAAACAACATTGCGGCCACCGCGTTATTGTACACACATATTGTTGAGGTCTCTTTTTACAACATCGAGAGCGTCTCAGGCTTTGCTCGCCATAGAAACAAAGTCAGAATGCAGAGGAGCACCGACGCGATAGCTGATTGGTACACAGAGAATGATTGAACGCAATGAGGCTTGAATCTCATTTATCAAGCCTTTCAAGCGCAAAACAGCTCGATGCGACTTGGACTCAGTGCCCTTTTCGACATCATGGCCTACTCTTATGTGACCACGAGTTAAACTCCAATTTTGTACAATGGAATGTGCACACCCCGTGCCACTCTAAACCTAGTCCGCTTCCCCATCTAATCCCTCTTTCACCATGACTTCAAGCCGTTCCACTACCTGCTGACAGTTCGGTCGGCCCTCTGGATCAATGTTAGTGCAATCGCAAATCAAACTCCACAAACGGGGAGGAAACGAACTCTTCACGATCGCCGTCCTCCCATTATCCAAGCCGCCCGCAACGCAACTCAAAATCACCTTGCCCAGGCTGTACACATCTATTTTCTCCGCCCGAACGCGCGGCCTTGATCTTGACACCCCGCCTTGCATGTACTCTGGAGCCATGTACCCCAACGTGCCATGTTGCGCGGCATCAATTAAGGAGGACACTTTGAACACTGAGCAGGAGAAGTCCGCCAGCTTGGCGTTGTGGCTCTCGTCCAGGAGTATATTGGCTGGCTTGACGTCATAGTGCGTCACCCGATTTTCGTGAAGATGCAACAAGCCCTTCGCCACGTCCAGGCTGATCCTCGCCACCTCCCCGCACCTCAGCACTGGCCCCGTTTCGTTGAGCAGGTCTTTCAGAGTCATGGGCATCCACTCTTCCACGATGACTGGCTCCACGCCCGGGCGCACGCCTATCACCCGGACGACGTTCGGGTGGCGGGGAAGCCTGGCCAAGATCTCTACTTCCTTGTTGATGGTCGTGAGGCACTTCTCGCTGCCATCCACCTTCACTGTTTTGATGGCCACACTGTGCGCAATACCCTCGTTGTCGCACCACACACCCTCCTTCACGCTGCCGTGCGCGCCAACGAACTCTTTTCCACCTTTCAAAACGGCGACCTTGCCAATGCCTGGTACCTGTAACTCCTGGAGTCCTCCTGTTTCCGCGAGCGATTGAGACGGCATGAGTTCCATTTGCCTTGGTTGTTCTTCCGCTGGTTCTTCCCCCACCGGAGTCTCCACGTCGCGGTCATATGCTTCAGGGCCGCCAGCACTGCGAATGCGCCCTCCCCTGCATTACGCGCCACGAGTCACTGGATCGCTGCAGATGAATATGCGGTTGACTCGTATTATTGCTGGTGGAATAAATTTGCCGTTTGCTTATTTGATTGTAGTTGGTCTTGAAGAACGCCAACTTGAAAACAAGTAGATTACACTGTTTGGTTACGAATCGGAACAAGAAGGCTTTGAGGGCAGGCATTTCTGCATGCAGTCCTCCAGTGCCACGACACTTAAATGAAAACAATCTTTCCTCCTTACAGAGATTGAATGATTTCCTGTGAGAAAGCAAATCTACAGCATCCCAATGAAGTCAAACGCCGAGTGCACAGCAATATGTCTGTGATTTTCAGATTTTGAGCCCCAAAGGACAATGTACACCGTCTGTTGTGAAATAGGCGGAATTCGGCCCATTCAAAAGGCTGCCAATTGTGATTCCATTTTCGTGTTAACCCGGCCCCTTACTGGAATTATATTTCGCGTGACTCAACCACAGTACTGCGTAAAGCACTGCAGCCAGGCGTTCGCCCCTCTGGGTCGTCCCAAACCCCTGGGAAACAAGCGACCGCGAGCGGCTGGCCGCGCCCCCGCTGGTGAGGGGCCACTACGGCAATCCGATGACTTTGTCGTGGGCGATAGTCTTGCGATGCTTGCGGCGATCAAAACGCACGCGGGCGCGGGGCGGCGTGTTGGGGCTTCAACGAGGCTGGCAATCTGTTGGTCGTCGTGTCCGGTAGGCGCTCAGAAGCATAACGGCAGAATAGGTTGTGGGCCTCGACTCGCCCACGACTTGTGTGCCCACGGTACGCCGTTCCGGGCACCGCCAAAAGCGGAGGAAGCGCCGCACAGGTTTTGCAAGCTCGGGGAGGAGCTCTTCCCAGGCCGTCCTCCGCACCTGCGTCACGCTTGTGGAGGAGCAGCTGGGGCCCCATGGGGACCATGCCTGCACACCCATGTCCACCATGGCCGCCAAATGGACGGCGGCAAAGCTGGGCGTCAAGGTTCCGCAATAGCAAGGTGAGCGCGCCCTCCAGAGCGCTTGGGTGGGCTGGGGGATTGTGGGCGAGCAGGCACGACCGGAGCGCGGGGCTTTGCGCAGTCGCCGCTTGGCCCGACGTGATGGGTGCCACGTGAGGCGGGAAGCCGGGGGAACCTGTCTGGGGGCTGTTTCTTGCCTGCGAGAATGCCACCGCCGCTGACAACTCCACCCCGACTGCGGAGGCCTCGTCGTGGAGAGGGGGCGCAAATGCCGCGACGTCGCGGGAGCGAGAGTGCCCTGCGCCCTGCCCCACTGCCAGTCTCCCGGCAGGCCCTGATTGGGCCCGTCATCACGGCTGGTGATTCGGCACCCGCGCCACTTTTCGCCAAGAACGACGTAGCTCTTGGTACAGGCGCTCAACCGCTGAAATTCTCGCAGGCTCCTGATTACCCAACGCCGGTGGATCCGAGTGCCCGTGAGGCTTTCACTTTGACAAGGAGCGTTTTCGGTGCCCAATCCCGCCACTCGCGGGGGCCTCGATTGGCCCCCGCGGCTGGCAGGATCCGGCGTTCGTGAGGCGCCACTTTTGCCAAGCAAGCGGCGCCTTCCGGGTGCCCAATCTGCCACCCGCGGGGGTCTCGATTGGCCTCCACGGCTGGCGGGATCCGGCGCCCGTCAGGCGCCACTTTTCGCCAAGAGAACGACGCCTTGCAGGCGCACAAACCCGCTACCCGCGGGGGTCTCGATTGGCCTCCACGGCCGGCGGGATCCGGCGCTTGTGAGGCACCATTTTTCGCCAAGGAATCAGCGCCTTCCGGGTGCCCAGTCCCGCCACTTGCGGGGGCCTCGATTGGGCCCCGCGGCCGGCGGGATCCGGCGCCCGTGAGGCGCCACTTTTTGCCAAGCAAGCGGCGCCTTCCGGGTGCCCAATCCCCCCACTCGCGGCGGCCTCGATTGGGCCCCGCAGCTGGCGGGATCCGGCGTTCGTGAGGCTCCACTTTTCACCGAGAAAACGGCGCCTTGCAGGCGCACAATCTGCCACCCGCGGGGGTCTCAATTGGCCTCCACGGCTGGCGGGATCCGGCGCCCGTCAAACGCCACTTTCCGCCAAGAGAACTGCGCCTTGCAGGCGCCCAATCCCGCCACTCGCGGGGGCCTCGATTGGCCCCCGCGGCTGGCAAGATCGGCCGCCCACAAGGCGCCATCCCTTTGTCAAAGGGTTGCCCACTCCAAAAACCCGGCGGCCAGCTGTGTGGCAAGGCAACAGGGTGGCGGGGTGCAGCGAGGGCGGCTGCGGAGAGGTGCCCCGGCCAGCCGGAGCTCCCGGGAGGGGTGGGGCAGCTGGGCGAAGCTGGGTGAGTCAGCCGAGGGAGTCACAGCGCCCCCACGTGACAATCTCAGCCGAAACGGGTTTGGGAACGGGCAAGAACGGGGTTGGAACAGGCCAAAACAAGTGGGAACGGAACGGAAATGCAACGGGAACTGAAAAAGAATACCGTAGTATATTAAACCCTTCCGCATCGGTCCATCCCGACCGCTAAGTTTTTGCTCCGCATTTTCATCCCGGACCGTTATATTATTTTTGCTCTGCATTGTGTCAGGCTGGCTCCAAGCCTTGGAGTCCAAGGGGCCTCTAGAAGCTATATCCCAAATTTCAGGTGCAACAGACCAGTCCCAAGCCTCGTTCTTGCATGCACCGTGCGACATCAACCACCCAGCTCAGGGAACGGTTCCCAAGAGTCCTAGCAATCCCCCCCCACCCACCCACCCCTGCCGGCCGTTAGTCAACGTGCACGTGCCCACGACGACCCCCACTCCCAGCCCGTGGGGGTTCTGTGCCATGTTGGTACCTTTGGCATCAGCGCCCACTCTCCCCGCCGGCCGTATGGCAGACAACAGGTGCCTGGTAGCCTACTAATCGCTCACCCATGAGCCTTCCGGGTGGCGGGGAGCGCCGAGAGGATGGTGCAAGGCAGAGTGGGCGGCCCGCCATGGGCCTTTGCATGTATAATCAATCCAATCCTTGATCACGCTGGCATATGCCTACAATCGCTTCGAAAGATTCGAGGCCCGAGCCGCCCGGTGAGCAAGTGGCAGGCGCTGGCCTACCTGCCAATCAACCACGCCGATCGATAACTGGGCGGCCCTATGGCCTGTTAGATGCCCGGGGCCCCGTCCCGACGCTGCACCCCGGCTGTTACTAAATTTGGTTGCTTCACATCTCGCTCCGGCACCATTATTTTTTTTTCATCGACTCCACAAAAAAGAGCCCAGCGTTACATTACTATGCGCAAGGGCTTAATATACTACGGTAGCCACTGTTCCCATTCCCGTTCTACCCAAAAGCTCTGGGAGCCCATCTATGGGCAAGGCGGCTTGCTTGGAATTGGGGTCACCATGGCCATGTAGGGGAGACCAGAGGGAGCAGTTCCCCAAGCACGTGCTGCTGGGCATGATGGCGATTCTAAGGAGCAACTTAGCGTGTGAGAGCGGCCAGGACCCGCCGTGCAACCGCTCAATAGAACAGGACAAGGGGGGAAGGGGGGGTGGAAGCAGAGGGCAAGGGGTTTGCCGGAAACCGCTGGTCCATCTACGCACCCATCTGCACCCCATGTGCACAGCGTGCGTTCATGTCCAGCCTTGTGGCAGACAATACAACGGCAACATGTAATGAACGTATGGTGTAGGTAATGTTGAGGACATGGGACAAAACATGCAGCTCAGGTTCTCATGCTTTGAGCAATTTACCACAAATCGACACATCGTGCTTAGCTTGGCGGCACCCATGGCATGTGGCGGAGTAACATAATATCTCGTCATATGCATGACACAATGCACACATCACAACATGATCCTTGTTGTAATAAATCACAACATCTAGGGGACAAATCTGCTCTTTGGATTTCGCATGTGTTATCACTACTAATGTAGCTCCCAAGGTATATTAGTGGTGCTCAGATTTGCAACACTTCTAATGAATTTGTTGGCAACCCTGCTTGATAACTACTTCTCCAACCCCGCATGTGCAAATGCCCATCACCAGTTACTGGGCCGGGTTACCCCATAGGAGCACCATGCGTGCAATGCACAAGGCTTCGACCTTGTAATATATTGAAATTACTCCCTCTGTACAAGATTAATTGTCCACTATCTAAAGACAGAATTCGTTACAAGGACTGCCTCAAAATTAGAAACAAATTTCAGAAACGGAAAATTAGGTTGCAAAACCCTTAACTAACAACTTCCAAGAGGAGAAAATGAGACACGAGCTCTTTCAGCATCAGGGGAAAGGTAAATTTTGGTCATTTTTGACCCCAAATACTGAGGTTCACTAGGTAAAAATCACTGGTACAAAGAACTACCAGATCCTCAATACTTAATGAATTGACTTGAAATTTTGATAGTATGCTCCAAGCTTGCAAGCACAACTTTGGGCAGGTTTTCATAGAAAATAATGTGAAAATGATGTAGAAATTGCGCCCTATAATCATAGAGGACAATTATTTTTGGACGGAGGAAGTGTATTTGTCGACGCGAATTTGAACTACAGTTCGTTCCTGCTGCATCTGCCTGTCTACAAATTTTCGTCGGTCGTTGCAGGCACTCACACATTCGATTACAGCAGCCGGTGCTCAGTGTTGATCTGGAGCAAAAGTCAGCGATCTTGCAGTGCACAGCGTATATATTCACCGTTACATAATTACCTAAAATAAGGCAGCATCGACTTGGAGCATGGTATGCAGTTTACATGTCCATTTTGCGTGCAAGTATGTACACATCTGCGGCCATTGCAAATTCGAGTTTGGCTCCCCAAAATTTGTGATATTTGGTCCGCAATTAAGCACGGCTCCCCGCCATAACATGATTTTTATTAATTCTCCAATAAATTCGATATATAAAGCAAGCAAATCAGATGATGCACGTCGGCGAATTGCATGACCACCGTCAAACCACGGTCAGGGGCTGCTGCTTCCCAGAGGTGCGATTTTCTTGCCAGCAAGCTCGCCTCACCTTCTGAAAAATTGGTAGATTCT